ATTGATCGTTGATTGTTCATTAATCATATCGTGGAGACATAACAGAATCAAGCTTTCATCTTTTCTAGACCTGTGACTGTCTCGTAGAAGAGAAGGTTGATGTTGAGTTACAGTGTATCATTTACCCTATGTTTCCTTCTTTCTTCTTTCTTTTCTTTTTATTCTTGTTAATTTATGAAACCATGCCACGCACGTACATATACGTCGCATCTCTCATTAGACATCGACAATATATGTATGCGTGCGCGTGTGTACATCACGTGTACACGATCTTTTTTAATTGTAGACCAGGTAATGTATTGAGCTATATGTGGTCTAGTCCGTAAGTTTCCTATGTTTTCTTACTTGTTTCCCGTAGGCGCAGAAACAGTTACCATTGATCATCATCCATGGAGTATCATAACACCCGATAGATACTAGCCAGTATATTCCTAATATATTTTACCGCATTTAGATAACCAGATCTCCGCCTTTCATCGAAATCCTACGGCGATTGGGCATCGATGCATTTCTCGTCACCTTTTACATTGTTGCATCTGTTAATGGCCATGTCTACGATAATTGTAAATGCGACTCTTTTATAACTAGGTTTCCGACGTAATCGCACAAGTGATAAAGCTATGCAAGCCAACTTGATACAATTAACTAAATTTCTCTTATGAATATTATATTATTGATATAAAAAAAATTCTGATTAATTTAATTTAGGTAGCTTAATTGTTAAAAAATAACATATTATAAATTAATGTAACTTGAATTACATATTTTTCGTTTATAAGTTTCATAAGCATTTATTGCTGCAATTTTATCATGACAAAATAAAGAAAGATTGTATGGAATTTTTCCAAAATGCATGGAACTAAGTTATCTTCAACAAGATAACACATCTGTTTGAGCTTATTATATGTCATTATGTCATTACTGTCGGTATTGCAATGGCTCTATCATTTCTGCGGTTTAAGTGCAAGAATAATTACCTAACTGTTATACAGGGGGACAGGTCCCACTGCCGTACGATTTCAAGATCATTATATCGCGATTGCCCAAGACTCGACAAGAATCTCGTAAACAGCTTCACCTATTCCTCGCTTTACTTCGCTTAGATTTATTAATAAATTAACCGACACTAATTTTTCATCTGAGACGAGTCCTGCAAGAATTTTCTTTGCGAGAGTATCAAACTTTCGTAAGTTATAAGAGCACGAAAGTGCATCGAGTATGATAGATATGGTGAGCGATAAAAAGAGAAAACTTGAAGATTTTAACTACTTGAGGGTGTTGGGCAAACGCGTTTAAGTTCGGAAACTTCAGTTTGTCGCCGCATAACGGGCTCGGGAGAATTTTCTTCGCACATGCCCCATCGACGGCGCAATATTCTATATCGGAAATTCATTTGCGCCACCGACGGAGTATCCGAACGGAATCTCTCAAACACCAAAGATCAAATACGGTGCATGACACAGTCATTATTGCAGCGCGCGTGTCGCGTTTCGTTGCGAGTACCGCACGCATACGAGTGCGGAAGCAAATATATATGTCATCGCCACATATGTACATACATTATGTACATACATGAACATGAGTCGCACTTCATGATACCTTCAATGATCCTTAGATAACTCTATCCTTATCTCTCGATTAATAGGAGGACGCTGAGACTACCCGACTCCACCAACCCTTCGAGTATTATCAATCGCTTTTTGCCGAATCCTTTATAACAAACAAAATCAAATTAACTTCTAAATAAATTTCTGTTTACGTATAAAAATCTCTTATAAAAATTCGTACGTATATAAAAATAAATGACAAAATATATCTGAATTCAGAAATTTGGACTCATTGCTATTAATGAATGGGGATGCTGCTGACAAAATTATCGACATTACAATCGTATAAAAATTGTCTGAACAGAATAAAAATCTTTTTATGGGATTAAAATAGACGCAAAATTAAAAGATAGTGCAGTGGACTTTATACTAAAATCGAAAAAAAGTTAAGTTTTAATTTTTTTCGATTTTAGTATAAAGTCCATTGCACCTCCTAATTTTTGCATTTAGTTAATTCAGAGATTTTTATTAATGTCGATAATGTGGTCTCTCCAGCATCCCCAAGACTATTGTACATATCTCTGTTAATATTTCACTTCAACGCACAATTACTAGGAAAAGAAGAAACAAGTTACTTAATTGTGCGTATTAATTATTGAGAAGACGATGCAGTTCTCCATGTGAAAGATAATCATCAAAATAAGATATGGATCGGAATCTCGAAGGGTTAACTCGGTAAATTAGCCATGTCGGTGCGTTCTCCGCGTGTTCTCCAGCTTTTTATTTTATGGACGGATTCCCATATCGTACTTATTGCGCACGTTGGAGCCGAGCAATTTATAATTCACGTTTGGATTCGAACGAACTATATCGACGTCATGGTAGAACGTCGATTGATTCTGGCTCTTTTTTTTTCCTTTTTATGTACGTCATATTATCATAAACATGAATATTATCATGAACATTTGGCGCATAAGCGGTTTGAGAATCTTGGCCCAATCAGTTGCAAATGATTGATATTTTTTGTTAGAGCATTCGTAGAATAACCAGTTATTTATCAACGTTTTAGGTTATATTGAATTGTTCTTTTGTGTGCCACGTGATGCGTATTTTCTAATGTAGCATGCTTTTCTTAACGGACGAAAAAAGAAAGAATTTCAAAAATATGAGAATGACGATGACAACATAGGAAAAGTGTGACATTCTCACTCAAACTATACAGTACTCCGAAATTTATGAGTTAAAATACTACAGCAAGATGATTTTTGAGATATAAAAATTTAAATTATAGATTTAACCAATTATGATTAAAGGGCCATGTGTCCGTAAATCGCACATTGACATTGTTAATGATCTCGCATTTCATTCACAGACAAAAGATTATGTGCATATATAATGTCGGTATAATACCGTTTGTTGCGTCTTAAATTAAATAAAAAAATTTATTTTATTTTTTTCTTATTATTTACTCTTAATATTACTTACTATTAATTTTTTTCTCTCAAAAGTATACTGATTATCTACTGATACACCTACTTATTATTTACGTAATATTAATATTACACTACTTACTATTTACTTACATATATACCTCGTTGATTTATGACTATGTGAATTTTAAAGTGAAATAATTTCGTTTATCATTACATTTCAATAATTTTAAACTAACTGATTAAACTTCGCTCGATTATGAATTACAAATTTAAATTTTTCCCACGTCTCTGGATATATTCAGTTTTTTTTTAATGTTGATATTTCTATAATTTGTTGACTATTATGATAAGTTAAAAAAACATTAAGGCTTACTCTATTTGTGCAAAGCACAAGATTAGTCATACAAAAACTTTAAAAGTGGGCTTAAAAAAATATTATAGATATTGCATATGCAAGTGAATATTTAATTTAAAAATATCGTTATTTTTTCACTAGTGCTTGATATAAGAAATAATACATTTTTTTTCTTATATTTATTATGAAAGTGTTTTACATACATATTTTTTGTTATATGAGTGAATATATTTAAATTTCATTAATAAAATACTCATTTAGATTTCTAAGGATTAAATTAAGCCAATACAATAAAAAATTTTAACGAAAAAACATTTAAAAATGTAAACGATTTTTTTATTAAATAAATATGGAATTTTGAGTATCACTATATAGTTGTTTTTATAGTGAAGTTCAGTTAAACAATTAATTATTTTTATTGATCGACTTATTTACAAAAATAAGAATAATAAACGATGAAAATCAATATATAATCAATATATGCAATACGAGATATCCTACAGCTAATAAAGACAAATAAATAATTGACAAATAAATAAATAATTGATAAATAATAATCGACCATCTAGAATTTAATTGTTTAAATAAAAAAATTATTTACGCGCGCAATAACATTGATATGTTGACGTAAAATAATTTTTTTTAATTTTTAATGAAATTAAAAATCGATTAATTAAAGACTAAAGAGAATCGAAAGATACATAAATAAAAAAAGATTAGAATTATTATAATAAAATAATGGCTCATATGTATGTCACTTTGCAATTATTTATATCTTATTCATATCTTCTATTGATATGATACACAAATTAGTAATGTAGTAGCGATATAATTCCGATAAATTATCAATTTATATTATTCGTTACATTTTTATTAACAATATCAACTAATTCGCAACAACCTTATACGCAATATCTTTTGTTTATTGTCTGTATGTGTAACATGCGCAATTAATATTATCAATAGATAATATTAATGAATAGATCGTTTAACTATCTATGATTGGCCAGTTTTTAACCTTATGTCCTAAAAACTACCGCAACTTATTCCTTTGAAAACTTTCTTGCTATAGCATTTTGACTCGCGAATTTTGAGACACTGGGTATATCTGCGCTAAGATCTGAATTTGAACATTGATTCATACTTATCCATTTTGTCTATAGTAAAGATTTTTTAATCAACTCCGTTAAGTAACTAATACTCCGTTAAGTAACTAATAGTTCCGCAAGAAATTAGTTTAAAAATAATTTAAAATTTCGCAAAAAATCTTGAATTTCGATTTTAAACACGGTTTTATCTAAAAATTTGCTGTTTTTTTCATAAGCGAATGAATGATTAGTTAAAGAATAAAAACAATTTCATTTTCTACAGAATTTGTACCAAAATATTTGTTGAATAATTATCAATAAACGATCGGATCTTAGTGACGGATTCAGTCACGTAGTTTACTCATTATTCTAAATCTGAGCAAAAACAGTAATAGAACCAATTGTATTCAATGAATTATATATCTACCGCGTTTTTGTGCAACACTCGCTTACTTGCTGTACACTACGCAATCGGAGCTTTGGATAAACAAGAGAAGAGATAAAAAAAACGTGTGAGAAACATTCCGACGCGCCCGATTCGGCACGAGAATAAAACTCTTAACATTGTTGTTGGCAGTTCCTGAATATGGCGTCGGTGTTCATGCGGATTTTTAACCTGATCTGTATGATGCTCCTGATCGGCCATTGGAGTGGCTGCCTGCAATTCCTGGTCCCTATGCTTCAAGGATTTCCCAGTAATTCATGGGTAGCCATTAACGAGTTACAAGTGAGTAATTAACGATATTATACACTGAGAAAAAAGATTTTGTTAATTTAACAAACTACCAGTTACAACGAATGATTTGTGACAACAAATGTCGGTATTAAAAACGAATACAAAATTTTTCTGTCATGGAGACTAATGCTAGTCTGCTCTTCCAATCAATTATTATTAGTAATAGAAGCAATCATGTATCTGCTGGATAGATTTTTATTTGCCAGCCATACTGATTATTTACGGAAGGTACAATGACAAATCATGTTTAACAAATGTGATTTGTGTTGTATAAATCACGTATTATTTGTTACATTGACAAATAATGAGAAACGATTCGCAATAATAATTGATCGATTCGTTTTCCTCAAATCATCATTTCTAGTAACATTTGTTATCACTGTTCCAACAACAAACTCATTTCTCTCAATGTATTACAATACACTGTTTACGATTTTAATAATCATTAAATTAATATAAACACAATTCCAGGATTGAAAAATAATCTGTTTAACATCAGTTTCTCTACATTTACTTTTATTCAATTTACTTTTATTATCTTCTTCATTTCTTTTCTTTTAAAAATTATTTAATATATCATTTTTTTAATTATTTAATTTCTCTAAAGCTCAACATTCATTCAATTTATTTTCATTATCTTCGTTATCTTCAATTAATTTCTCTTTTACATTACTTAATATATCAATTTTTTTAATTACTTATAAACAAGAATACTTTTTTCAATATATAAAAATAAGTAATAAAACTGTAGGCGACTAATACGTAAAAATTATTTGGCGGTTTAGCAATCATGAAGTGACTTTTCAAGGAGCAAGAAATCGGGCGAAGCTCCGCGCAAACGCTGTGCACTTTGTGCTAAAATTAGCGATCGATTTGCAAAATGTATTTCCGTGTTACAACCTGACGCCTACTTGCAGGACTCATTTTGGCTGGAACAATACTCGTGGGCCCTCTTCAAAGCCATGTCGCACATGCTGTGTATCGGGTACGGTAGGTTTCCGCCACAGTCCTTGACCGACATGTGGCTCACCATGCTCAGCATGATCAGCGGTGCGACGTGTTACGCTCTTTTCCTCGGACACGCGACGAATCTCATTCAATCTCTCGATTCCTCGAGAAGACAATACCGCGAGAAGGTAGATAACACATCTATAACAACGCCAATATAATCGCGCGAGAGTAACTCGCTCGGAGTTTGCCGAAATTTAATTCCTGTCTGACTTGTTCGTAGGTGAAACAAGTAGAGGAATACATGGCCTATCGAAAACTACCGAGAGAAATGAGGCAGAGGATCACGGAGTACTTCGAACATCGGTATCAAGGAAAGTTCTTCGATGAGGAACTGATCCTTGGAGAACTGTCGGAAAAATTGAGAGAAGTACGACAGGATTCATATAAAATACTTTATTTAATTGAGACTAAAAATTTAATTGAGATTAAAAATGATATACATATAATATTTTGATAATTGTGAAATTGAAAATCCAAGAAATCTCATCCTTTCTAATTAATGATATTAAACTATTCGCGTGCACTTTTGCATTCAGAATCTTTGCTCTTTCTCTTTTCAACGCATGAATATATATTTATTTTATTTTATAGGCAAATTTTTTTGAGAATTCAAGCAACGTGAATAAATTTACTAATATTCAACATAATATCGGTCTCTAGAAAAAACCTATTTTGAGAAAATATTATATATCGCGAAAATATTTCAAGGAAAGCGGATAGAAAATCTAAGAAATCTTTTATTCCTTCCAATTGATGATATTAATATTCAATGTAGTATCGATTTTTTAGAAGGCATCGAAAAGATTTACCATATTTAGATTAAAGAAAATGCAAATATGTCTATTGAAATCATGCCTCATTTCAGGATGTGATAAACTACAACTGCAGATCGCTGGTGGCGTCCGTGCCCTTTTTCGCCAACGCCGATTCGAATTTCGTCTCGGATGTCGTGACGAAACTCAGATACGAAGTCTTCCAGCCAGGTATCAAATGTCATAAATGCGTTTCGCTAAATAAAACGTCTGGGCGTAATACGAGGAAGAATCTTCTCGTGCGTCGCTCAGGAATCGTGCGTGATATTCAAGTGTGTGACATACTTGCAGGTGATATCATCATTAAGGAGGGTACAATCGGTTCAAAAATGTACTTCATACAAGAAGGCATAGTCGATATCGTGATGGCAAACGGCGAAGTAGCGACCTCGTTATCGGATGGGTCTTACTTCGGTGAAATCTGTCTGTTGACAAACGCGAGAAGGGTGGCGTCGGTCCGAGCGGAGACCTATTGCAATCTCTTCAGCCTCTCGGTGGACCATTTCAACGCCGTATTGGACCAGTATCCCCTAATGCGCAGAACGATGGAGAGTGTTGCCGCCGAGAGGTATAAGCTTTGGTTAGGTTTGTTCTATCGAGTTGGTGTGCTAATAGATGTCAATCATCACTCCCACTCCCATCTACTTTATTTGAGCATTTCGTACTGTCCGACAAAACGGAGATCAGTCATTTGCTGCCTGTGGAAATCATGTCGCTTCAACATACGATTTTCGTATGTGTTTGTTAGAACTCGACGCTTGTTTTACACACACATACACACACATACGTTAATATTTATCAAAAGAAATATTTATCAAAAGAAAAATTTAAAGCGACTTTTGTCGCTCATTAATTTTTTTATGAATTTTGAGCGAGATAGTTGGGGAGTTGGGAAGAATTTGAGACAAATTTATGATAAAAGCGCACTAACTTATGACGCTGCGTTCTGTAAAGCGCATGATGTGCATAATATATTATTTAATTCTTGTTGTTTATCAAATGTGTAAACAGGAATAAAATTACACATCGTGCACATCATGCATTTTACGGAATTTTCAGCTGATACTTATAATGAGTTGAGAGGGTTAAATCCGTTCGAAATATCTTTAATACGATGATATTTCGAATAATCGGAATTCATTTTATATTCACATGCATGAAAGGGAAAATATCCAATATAGTGCATATTTCATGAAATCGGATATTATCCGAGTGAATAAATAACAATTATAATTCAACATCGTGACAAAAGTTTTACACTCTCGACACATTCATTACATGATAATATTCTATTTATAATTTGGCATAACATATTTTACAAATTATTTGAAATATCATTTTTGTCACACGTCCACATACAAACCAATTTTATGCAGACTTGATTATACAAAGAATTGTATTATAAATTTATAAATTATTTTCTCAGTGTTACGAGATTTCCGCTAAAATATTTACAAGCTATAAAAACACACTTGTTAAAAATATTTTCAATAGCAATCATATTTTTATAGTTTGTAAATATTTTATTAATAATTAAAAATAAAAATAAAGTAGCTAAAAATTTCTTAAATAAAAATTGATTATTGAGATTACTATTTTATTTTTTATCCAACAAATAAAAGTCTAGAGTCTATAACGATCGAAACTGGATCTTAAACACTTAAATAATTTTCATGTACATTTATATACCACATATATAGTCATTTAAAACAATTAATTCGGCGCGCAATTCAAAAGACTACTTACTGGTATATAAATTCACATGAAAATTATTTAAGCATCTAAGATTCAGCTTCGATCGTTACAAGCTTTATACTCTTATGTGTTATATATTCACATACGGTCTTAATAGATCATTTATTTTATTATTTGTTTCATATATTCGCATATTATTCAAAATTCCATGATTAGTGTGACAAAAATAAATGATTTTTTTATTAGTTTACTTCATTCGACTACCTTTAGCAGTGCAAGTAGTATCGAAACAAATAATAATGGCTGTTGAGTACAGATAAGCGGCGGGTGTTATAAAGCCACGAAAGGGACGAATCACTGTGCTGCTAAGTGGTTTAGAATTTGATGTGAATAGTAGTCGGTTATGTCCTGTGCGACATTCCCTACGCTTAATCATACTCTTCTTGTAGGTTAAACAAAATTGGGAAGAATCCTAACCTGGTGGCTCATCGCGAGGAAGATCTTGGCAGTGAATCAAAAACGATAAACGCCGTAGTAAATGCGCTCGCGGAGCAGGCCGCGCATGCCAGCGCCAGTGAAGAATCAGTAAGTATACGAATAAATGACATTCGTAAAATTTATAATTAAGCTATGAATATATGCCTTTTTTTATAGCATTTCTTCTCTCAACCAAAAGAAAAAATACATTATTATTCGACATATTTGAATCCTTAATCTTACCGATTGCAACTTATTCTTAATCTGAACAAATAATATAAATAAAATAATATTCTGCAATTTCTCGTATCTTTATAGAAATAAATAGATACATATGCGTGTCATCTTAATAAAATTTGTCATTTCAGGTACATAGTATGGAGCTCAGAACGCTGCCGGCTTGCCTCTTACCCAGACCAAAGTCTGAGAACAATTTCGCGAGCCAAGAACTTACGAGAGAAGGACGGAGGATCTTTCACAAGAGCGACACTTTCCACAAAGATTCGTATCAATGACGACACTCGTTTTACTAGCATATGCAGAGATACTAACGGCTCCATGTTGGAAGAATGATATTCTATTCCACAAGAACTTATCTCATCGATAGGATAACTATGGTGGTTTTGTGCCCGGTGCTAGGGCGATCCTATAGCAGCGGTCTATACATAGATATCGGCCATGCCAGTAGTCCTTTAGCAATCGATTTATAGCGCCTTCTTATATTAATCTGACGGCATTTTCGTCCAGGACCGCAAAACCACCGAAATCGAATCCTATACTCCAACTATGATACAGATTTCCGCGAACAAATAAAATAGTACAATAATGTATAAATACTATTAATGATATATAAAATTTTCATGAAAAAATTTTCATATATCGCAAAATAATTCCGTGATGGAAAGGAAAGGTTTGAAGAATAAAGGAAAAACTTTTACATTTTAGGCCCCTTTATCTTTCAAACTTGATTCGACTCCTTTTATTTAGAAAATGATGACGAAGCAACTCCAAAGAATCGCGAAATTTTAATCTTTTACGAGCACAAGGAAGAAAAAAGAAGAAATATCTGTATCTCGATTGGAGAACATGGAGCCATTTTACGCCGTGTCTCTTCATTGAAAACAATCGCCGCGTCGCATCAAATGCAATATTAAAGATGGATGGACGCAGCGAAGAATGAAGATCTCAAAGACGACGAAGAGCAGGCCTAGAAGTTTATAGAGAATATGTAGCCCACATCGTGGGGAAAAAAATTAGGTATAATCCTAAGTAACAGTGTAACGAGCGTAATTCTCTGTGATTTTGCAAGTTGACGTTTCGCACTTTAGGAAAGAAGAAAAAACCAATATAATCTACGTGAAGAATTAGATTGCTCTTTTTTTTAAAGCAACAACTAACATAGAGAAATCGTCGTAAGATCAGAGTACTCCGATTAAGTTGACGCGATTTATCCTTAGCTTCGTACTGCATTAGAGCCGCGTAAATAAGTGACAAATCGTAATATTCCGTGCGGGGAAAGAAATACAAGAACAAAGGGGAAAGGTTCACATAAGATGGATTAAAAATATCTTATCGGTGAAGGCTCTTTTTCTGATTTCAGACGCGAAATAAGTTTGCGTTCCATGACTCCGCTTGTTTTGATAGATCCTCCTTTATTTTGTTACGTTTCAGTTCATTTTATATTATAATAACATTAAAGCCGCGAGTGATGATTACATATTGCGACTCAATGTCGGATAGACCGTCCTGGTACAGAAATATGATCGGTAAGAAGGAAATTACGGTTGCGCGTTTAAGAATTTGCGGACGAATCCAGAAAAAGAGAGAGAGAGAGAGAGAGAGAGAGAGAGAGAGAGAGAGAGAGTTTGAAATGCGATTATAAGAATTAACCGGTTCTACAAATCCTACCGAGGGCCTGAAGGCTGTGTTTACTTGTTGAGAGTCCTTCGGGCCGCTGTGGTTACATGTCAATGAATGAATTATATGCGTAATGCGAGCAAAGTATCTTTTTATGAAATGAAAACAAGAAAATACGCGATGTACTATAAAAAAGCTATAAATACTATGTAATAAATTATTATTATTGTTACGATTATTACTTGCAATGATTACTACACCACTACCGCATAATTAGGCGACTAAATAAATTACCAAAAAAATGATACAGTTATACACATATATGAAGTATTATGCATAGTGGTTAAATATCGTGTTGCAAGATAACCCTATAATGTTCAGCTTTACGTACGAAATGGTTTGACACCAACTAAACCGATACTTACAAGCAGTTTATACATCATAATCCTCCCGAAGCTTGATCTATTGTATTCCGTTTTAAATAACGTTTTATAAATACCAATATCTTCGAGGCCAATTGAACCATACCGATCGATCTCGCTTTGCGTATTTTATAGACGCTAACCGAAATCAAACAGAATATTTCATTTCAAATACCTCCTAGCATTCGGCTAAAGAAGTTTTTAAAAGATAATTATAATACTATTTAGTTTACACAATTATAAATCCTAATCTGTGCTGCTTTCTTCTTAATCCTGAAGAGCACAAGTATATTTGTAGCATCATGTTACAACATAACATTCCTGAATTTCTATAAAATTACAACAAAACAAACATATTTTTATCAAATTCATTAAAAAGATTATTTTCTTTCCGCACTTTACATATAAAATTAATGAAGTTAACATATTTCTTTTAAATAAAGTATGTTTACGCGGCTGTGCTCTTTAGGATTAAAGGGACGTCCTTTCGATATTAGTAAGCATGCGATCGACCGCAATTATTCGCTTTTATTTTCTCTCAAATTCGAGATTGCGGTGTTCTCTTCTGCGTGAGAAATAAATCGATCATCCTCTATTAAAAATAACGCCCGAATGTTATTTTTATTTGTATGATGACGAGACTCCATTAGCGGGCGCACGATTGAAAAAGAGTGAGCCAATCGTTTTTCTAGTTGACGCGTACTCGTTATCGCGAATACATCAATGTACATATATCTTCACATAAGAGTTTAGACACGCGTTTCATACATATACATATGTAAACATGAACACTTACACACGCGTGCGAGAGGGAGAGAGAGAGAACGAGAGAGAGAGAAAATGAAAAAGAAAAAAGTACCTATTTTTCATGTAAGAGAGACATAGTTTTTTGTCATTATTTATACATCTTCAACACACGTCTCATACTCAATATATATAAATATAAATACTATATAATAGCCACAAGAGTGTAAGGAGAGAGAATGCGTACGAGAGGTCAAAACATTCCAATGGTAGAGTAGTCATAGACCGAATGTCGACGTTTTTATAGTTTAATCTGTACGAACGGTCTAAGATTAATCTGCCGGTTCGGGCCTAAGAGAGTACGCATTAATATATAAATATTATAAATAAATAAATATATATATATAACATTGTTACTGTGCTCCGAGACGAGTGCGAGGGAAAGAACAAAGTAATTGTATACAAAAGAAACAAAGGAAGCTGTACTCTTACTACCACTGCTAACTGATAGACACTATTTAGCCACTGTCTACTTATGTCGATAAAACGATAAAAAAAGAAAAAGAAACTGCAGCAAGGAAGTGCTGTATTAGTACTCTACTCGCATACATATACGAAATATTACGTGTACATAATACCGTACGTAATATGTACGTAAGGAGATACACATCTCTATAGCACACTACAAAAAAGAAAACGAAGGAGAATAATTCTTTAGGATTAAACAGAGAAATCGTGTGACTATTTGAGGCGTGTGAACCTTACTCCATAAACAGACAAGAGTGAGACACTTATTAAATAAAAATAAAAAAGAGGTGAATAGTTTTTGTATTGAGAGTCAAGTCGCGCGTGAACAGCGGAATATATATTGGATCAGACTAGGGGGAGGAGGGCAAGAGGGAGGAGAAATAGATCCAGAAATCGGAAATGGACCCATATAGTGTCTGTACTGGCAATGAATTGAGTAGGAAGCCCGAAATTAAAAAAAAAAAAAGACGAGAAACGGGTCTACATTCGTTGCAAGAAATTAACCGGATAGCGTGCACTGGATTACAAGAGCATTAGATACAATTGTCGTCCGAGGCTGATTAAAGTGCGTCAATTTAGTCGCGATCTAGAGCATGCAGAATGGGATGCTGCGAAGAAAAGGACGAAATCGTAAACGGGTGTTTCAAATCTCACATATCAATCGTTCTGTTGAAAGATGTCGCGAAAGTATTCGCTGGATGCGAGAATTGTTTTTACAGTGCGCTCAGCAAAAACGCTTGACTGGTATAGCGTTTATTGTTCCCCTTTTTTTTTTAGAATATTCAATCTCGCAGTTCACTTAAAGCAGATTTAAGATTTGGACAAAATTTCCACGTATTATATATCTCTCGAATATTCATCGGTAATCTCATTCGTTAAATATCATGCTAAATGAGAACGACTATTTAAATTTATTATCTTTTAATATTATCTTCTCTTCGAAGTAGACTTACTATTTCCGTTTCCGGTTTCAAGGATCAAAAATTGTAAGAACGATCGACAAAGAAACATGCGACTGTCCAAAGCTAAATAAAATGCTATTAGATGATCCGCTGTTAAGTGTTTCTCAATAGTTTTCGCACGGTGACACGGTACTCCCAGAACAATTACAGTTTGCAATAAAAACATATTTTATTCTTATTCCATTATGTGTTGCACTATTAAACATATCTGCAATATATAAAATTATTCCAATTGACCGTTTAAAATTATTTTAACTATATTGACAAATATGAACGTATCATTTGAAGATCCGCTATCATTGTCTGTTTTTCTAGAACTGTTCGAAAATCAAATGTGATTAAAACAACGAAATATGCACACATCAGAGCTCACATACGCGTGTGCGGTAATTCTTGTATAATATTAAATAGAAGTGTGTAATCACGTAGATCTTAACAGTTTCTTGAATGCAATGATGCTAGTACATGCTGCAGTTTTTTTTGTTTTTTTTTTTTAAGAAGCCATAAAACTCCACGATCGAAGAAGTAATAGGTAATCCCTCATCAGAAGTCGCATTAACGGCTATCTCATCGAATTTATATCATATCTGTTTCAATAGTATCTGTTACTACTAATTGGAATTTCATATTATAGAATTTTTAATTTTCATACTTTTTGGGTCTCTTAAAATATCGTGACACTGTGTGAAAGCTAAGGTGGCTTCCTAGCTAGCTGGGAAACCTGCGTGTAGTACGCCTTGTAAAAAAAAAAAAATAAAATGAAGAAAACATTACCCTAGCGTCAATTTTCTACGAAAGAGTTTTCTACAGGGTTCACACCATGAGCGGGAATTCGACGTCGTGCTTATGGTATGAATATGTATGTACGCTGTTGCGGCGCTGATATGAATCTACCGTTTTTTCTATTACACGTTATTGCGTTTGTAATTACGATCGTTTTTTCGAGCGTGCGAAGAAAAGCAGCGGGGAGCATTATCAGTTATAGTGAAAGTTTGCTTGATTGAACGAAGCGATTAGATGAATGAGAAGAAAGAGATACTTCAATGAAATGTGCTTCGATTTTTCTACGCGACTTCGCTTCAGTTTCTTTAGCGATCTAAAGATTTACTTATTTCATAAAATAAAATTTTTCGAAAATTTAGCTGCAAAAATGATACAAAAATTTGGATGAAATACATGGCAAAGTAAGAATGCTGCGATTCTTTATAAATACAGTGTCGGCATCTTTCGCGATACTAATGGTGTAGCTTATAAAACCTATCTTTGATTATTTGAGGATATTAATATT